ATGTAAAGGTATGAGATCCCAATGACGAATGTAACTGTACTATACCACTAAAATGTACCAATAAACAATAAAAAAAACCTTTGAGCGTACATCTGACTAAACAGAATAACATCATGAACTGTCATATACCTACCCATCCCCAGCCCCACCAGTAGCCCAACCAATCCCCACATACGTCAGTTTATCTCATCTTCTACTGTTTATCTTCTGAGTTCCAAGCAAATCTCAGATACTATACTATTTCATCTGTAAGTCACTCAAAATACTTCTTGCATCATAACCTCAATTCCATCATACGTCAAAAGAAATCAACTGTTCCTACTGTTCGTTTCCTACTTTCCTCAAATTGTCATATGTGGATATTTAAGAAGTTTTAATCAAAGTACAAACAAAGTCCAGATGTCAAAACTAGTTGATGTAACTTTTGTTTGTTTTAGTCTACAGGTTATCCCTTTGTCTTTTTTTTTCTTGAAATTTATTTGTTGAAAGCACTGGGTTATCTTATAGATTTGCCCACAGTACAGATTTTGCTACGATATAGTTTAACGTGCTCTCTATCCCCCACTTTCCTATAAGTTGGCACTTGCATCTCAAGCTGGCTTACATTCTTATTTGATTTTAGTGGAGGGATTTTCTTCAAGCAAGAGGTATAGGGTGATTTTAGATGTTTCAGATCTAAACCGTGGCATTAGGTGCTACAGATAATCAATGCCTGAATATTTTAGTTCATGACATTTCAAAAATATTTTGGTTCATTAAACATATCAAAATATTTTGGTACATTTCAACATTTCACAGGAAGGAAAAATGAGAGAACCAGATATTCATCTACTATTTGGCACCTAGGATAATTGCTTAATTTACCACTTCCAGAAGAATGAATAGGCTTCCTAACATCTTTCAATAGCAAACAATTAGAGTTCGGCTTCCTTTGGAGGATCGTTATGAACGAATGGACTAACATGTTGATGTGTTTTAACTTGTTGGAATACTGGCACTCCAATGGTCCCGTTTTGGCAGTCCCCTTCCTGCAGTTGATGCCTGAATCCTTTAGACATAGCCCCAGATGCGATGCATTGTTTGTGTACATTTTCTGCCTAGACCTAGAGCAATAATTTTTTTCCAGAGTCCTGATTCCCTTTAACAGGAAATCGCATTTGGAGATGTCACTCTGATGTCAGTTTTCCTGTTCTCTCATCTGATCAAAGTGTCCTGTAATTTTAGTCTTTTTATCTTCATCTGATTGTCAGGGTAGGTGTTGGCTTTAGTGCTGAGGTCACCCAGCACTCTCATGGGAAGAATGCATGTGAGCACACGCTGGATAGGGTAGAAAGAGACAGGCTGAGGGAGCATGGAAGCTCTTCTGAAGGTGGCAGGTGCAGGTGGGAGATCCTAGAGCAGTGCTCCTAAAACTTCAATGTGCACCTCAACTGCCCTGGAATCTGGTTAAAACGCAGAGTCTGAGTCTGTAGACACTGCACCTCTGACAAGCACCTGGAGGTGCCAGTGATCTGGTCCACGGGGCACATTCTAGGTTGTCGGGCTCTGCCAGCATTGAGTAGTAAGTGGCTGTTGACACTAAATGCCCGAGGGGTTCAGCACAGGGCAGCAGCAGCTTTGTAGAGGAGGCAGCACTTTTGCTGTGATGATGTCTGGAGTTTTTAAAATCAGGATCCAGAGTAACAGAGTAGTGGTAATTTCACGTTCAAAGTAAACTTTCAAAAATTACTATTGAGTAGCACTGTGTAGAGCGAAGGGTATAAATCATGTACAACTTGATCTTTTTTTGAGCTACGATTCTTACATCATAAAATTCACCCTTTTAAAGTACACAGTTCAGGGGTTTTTAGCACATTCAGAGTTGTGTAATCACCACCACTGGTGAGCTCCAGATCACTGAATCACCCCTCAGAAGAAACTCCATGTTCATTCATTCCCCTTGTCCCCTCCGCTAGCCACAGGCTCTCACTAACCTACTTCCTGTTTGGTGGATTTGCCTTTTCTGTACTTTTCATATAAATGGGGCCATACAGCAGTGACCAATTGTGATTGGCTGTTTTCACTGAGTATAATGTGTCCAAGGCTCAGATGTACTGTGCATCTGTCAATGCCTCATCTCTTGTTGTGGTTGAATAATACTCAATGGTATGGGCAAACCACACTGTTTTTCCATGAATCATCAGTGGGTGGACGTTTGTGGTGTTCCCATCTTTTGGCGATTGTAGATAATGCTGCTACCAACATTCACATACATGTGTTTGTGTGGGTCTATATTTTTAATTATTTTGAGTATTTACACTGGAGTAGAAATGTGTGTCGAGGGCCTGGGATTTCATCAGTGGTTCTGGCACTTCCTCGCAAGCGCAAGGGCCTGAGTTCGAGCCCTGGTGCCAAAAAAGAAAAATGTGTGTCTTATAGTAATACCGTGTCAAATTCGGAGGGAACTTCCCAACTGTTTTCTAAAGAAGCTGGAACATTTTACAAGTTTGGTTTGAAAAGTATTTATACATAGCACAAACCTATATTCCTTCCTCACTAATTAAGAGTAGGATACTATCAACACTTGGCAGTCTTTCTTTTCACCCCTCACTTTAAGGGTGTGTATGTCAACATCTGTTAGTTTTGATGGCCAAGACTTTTAGAGGTAAAAGTGGGAGCATGTTCCGCACAGTGAGCATAGCATTAGCAAAGATATGAGTGTGGGAGGAAAGATCCCAGCTTTAAATCAACAGCTGGCCATGGTGGTGCACACTTCTAATCCCATCTACGAGGGAGGCTGAGGAAAGAAGATCAAAAGTTTGAGCCCAGTCTGGGCAACCTAGCAATTTAGGAAGATCTTGTCTCAAAAAATTATAAAAAGGTTGGGGATTTAGCTCAGTATGATGGCCCTGGGTTCAAACCCTAGTATCACCAAAATAAAAAAGGGCTGGGTATGTAGCTCAGCAGCAGAGCACTTATCATACATACATAAGGCCCTGGGCTCCATCCTGGTTCTAAAGCAAGGAAGGAAGGAAGGAAGGAATTTTGCACAACAGGGGCCCACTTTCTTCTGTTGTCCAATGCTTGATGAGCAAACAGGTTTCCCTTCTTGCCCCACTTCTTGCACAGCCAGCAGTTTCTCAAAGACATAACCAGCAGGTAGATCAGCTTCCAGTTGGGAAGGGTGGAGGGTTGGCTGAGTGCAGGAGAGCAAGGTAAGGAAGCTATGTGCAGATTCTACTGGGTCTCACATCCCAGTGGAAAACTCGGCATGCAGTGTCAAGGGTGAGGTTTGTGGTTTCTGGAGGGGTGGCTGCAAGAAAGGGCTGGGGATTTAGCTCAGTGGTACCGCACCTTCCTTGAAAGCTCAAGGTCCTGAGTTTGATCTCCTGTACCAAAAAAAAACCATAAAAGACTTTGTGTTTTGCAGTGGACCTGTCAAAACTGCCCTCCCTTCCCTGTTCATCTCCACCACTTCCATCAGCAGGATCTTTAGGAAGACCCAGCTCCCTAGACTGCGGCCCAGCCCACAGGGGCTGAGCAGGACGTCCCCTGGGCAAGGGTCATGGCAGGGGACATTCAGCAGCACAGCCATCTGTTCTGCAGGGTAAACTGCAGGGGAGGAGCTGCAAAGGCCTAGGAGGGCTCCCTGGTGGTGGCCCTGGAGAGTCAGGCTGCAGCTGTCACAGGAGGCCCTTTCTCCCAGCTCAGCAGTCCTATAGCATCTCGCCCCTCTGCATTCTTTCCCGAGCTGACCTCTAAGAACTCATCAAAGTGCGTGTAGATGACTCCACAGAAGCCACTGTGGGACCTGCACAAAACTGCTCACAGAGATTTGTCTGAACCCCAAGTCCCTGAGTCGCCAATGACCAGCCCCACCAGCCCTGCAACCCCAGACACCATGCCTGCTGGCTCCTCTGAGACTGAGACAGCTGCCACTGGCAGTACTCAGGCCTTCCTCCCAAACACCATCCTCAACACAAACAACCTGAAATTGTCGCTTCCTTCCAGCACACTGCCTGGGAAATTTTCAATTTGAGATTGCTCTAAAAGATGCAAAAGTCCCGCCTCGAGGTCTGGTCTGTCACGTGTCAGGGACTGCTCTCCTGCCCAGTGAGCACAGCAGGGCCACCACAGGGGCAGGAGCAGAGGCTGGCAGGCAGGGTGGGTGTGGAGGAGTGCTGGGGTGTCCCACAGTGTGAGGCTCTGCAGAGAGGACTCACAGGCCAGGGTCTGCAAAGTGGCAGGGAGGACCCAAAACTTTCTGTGGTTCGCTTCATGTGCACCAGGAAGAGACTAAGATTCAACTTCCCTTCCTCTCCCCCAGGGCCCTCTGAATTCTGTGCATCTTCACTTTTCCTTTTCTCCCCACACCTTTTCTCTTTTCAGCACTCCTCTACTTCCCTTATTTCTTTTCCTTGTCCCTAGAACAGAAAATAGTCTTATTGGTTTCATTTTCTCTATAAAGGAGGGCTCTGGAGACCAGCCTAGGCCTCTAACCGTTGTGGCGTCACTTTCCAGGAAATCCTGCTGGCTCATGCAGGGGCTCAATAAATGCTAGAGTGCTAGTTGAGCAAATCAAGGGATGAATGAAAGTCACTTCATTGTGGGTTCTGAACACTGCGTTTGGGTCTGGCCTTTTGGAACTAATCCCTGTGCGGGTGGCCACTGGCTTTCCCGTGGGCACAAACCAGTCAGCCTGAGGCTGAAAAAATTCCAAATGTGAGGTGAGGATGGGACCCAGGGTCTAGACTCTCATTTGGTCCGTTTTGGTTTTTGCATTGCGTTGTTGCAGCTTTTCCTTGTGCGCAGTTCAGTGGGCAAGAACTGACGGTGCCCCAGCGCCCTCTGCTGGTGCACTTACATAACCAACTTTTGTCTACCTGAATTTCTACCCACCTTGTTTTGATAGGGGGTGCGGGAAGGCTTGGGGGGTGAGGATTTCTGGTTTTATTCTCGGCCCGCTCATCTGTAAATGTTCAGTCCAGAGCTGGCTCCTGGTGAGAAAAATGAGTGTCGTGTCGGAGCCTACCCTGCCTGGCATCCATGTGTCCTTTGTGTCTATTGACCTCCTGCTGTGCCCCGCTCTGTGCCAGGCCCTAGCATGTGGTAGTGACAGCAGCAGCAACTCTCTTACGGAGCTCGCATTCAACCTGAAGACAAATGAATGCGAGGTACGTGAGTTGGTGACAGTATGCTGGAGGGGAAGATAAAGCACAGCTAAAAGCTAAGGAATGCTGGGAGTGGAATACTGTCATTTTCATAGCGTAAGAAGCTAAGTGTCTCACTGCAAGGGCAGGGAGCCAGCCCTGTGGAGACCTGAGGAAATGGAAGGGAGCATTTGTAGTCGGGAAGGCCCTGAGGCAACCGCGTACATGGCATGTTTAAAGGAAAGCAAGAAGACCATGTGGCTGGCGCCCAGAGCGTGAGTGGAATATGGTATCGGGGGCAGGCAGCAGGGCAGATCCTGCTGGGGAAGGCGAGCCACTGATTTCGTGTTTTATCCGGGGAGAAACAGGAAAACATCGCAAAGTTTTGAGCTCAGGAGTGACAAGATCTAACTCACACTGTAAAAGGACAACTCTCACCGGTGTGGCCTAGACCATTTGGGACTCCTACTGAGGCAGAGAATAGGGCACAGAAGACCGAAGACCGGCTGGGGGAGTAGGTGTGACCTGCGGGTTACAAAGTCCCACCACAGAACAGTTCCCAGAGCCCTGCACGCTCTTCTGAGATCTTGAGTCGGTTTATTGATAGGAGGCCTAAACCTGGTGCCACCCGAGGAGGGGGAAATACGAAAGGACAGTGGCCACTGAGCCTTTTGCTACTGTGCTGTCTCAGTGACTCTCTTTCCTCCTAAAGGGCCGTATTTTCCTACTTTTACTTGGCCCGAACTCACTCTGCTGAGTCTGTTTCTCTTCCTACCCTTAATAAATGTAAAACTTTGCTACCATTTGCACTTGTCTTGACCAAATGTGCATTCAGGACCTGAATTCTACATTCAGGTTTCTAGGATTGGAACCTAGAAACCACCTCTATCAGGAGACAACCTTGGAACACTGCTGCACTGCAGAGCCATGGTAGTGGCTGGGGGGGTGGGCAGCAGTGGTGAGAATTGTTCACTGCACGGCAGCACCGTGGCTATAAATACACAGCTCCTGCTTCCCTTCCAGTTTATTGAGAGGGGTTAATTTGCGCCCTTTCCTGCAAGAACTCTCAGAGAAACACGTTCCCTGAGCCTCTCTCAGTAATAAAGAGGTCTCAGGTGCTTGTGTGCCATAATTTAATTATCTGGTATTCATTTAGCTTGTTTCTGATTTTAAATATATATTATAAATGATTCTGATGAATACACTTCTAGTTAAATCTTGGCACAAATCTGTAATCTTTTTTCTTTCTTTCTTTTTTTTTTCCCAATACCGAGGATTAAACCTAGGGCTTTTGCACTGAGCTACATCCCCAGCCATTTTTAAATTTTTTAAAAATTTTGAGATAGGGTCTCTCGAAGTTTCTAGGTTGCCCAGGCTGGCCTCAGGTTTGCCATCCTCCTGCCTAAGCCTCTATAATCTTTCCATGTCTTCTTAGGTATCTGATATTGATGAATTGTCCTTCGGAATAGACTCACACCAGAGTTGCTCATCTCTGCCCAAACTCATCACTCACAACAGAATACCCGCCCCCTTTATTTTTGGTCCCCACTTTAAGAAGTTAATGTCAAGGGCTGGGGGTGTAGCTCAGCCTCCCATGTGTGAGGCCCTGGGTTCAATTCCTAGTACCACCTCTCCATCACCACCACCACCAAAAAAGAGTTGGCATCAGCAAACAGAGATGGTTTCACTTCCTTCACTATTTGGATGCCTTTATTTCATTTTCTTGCTCAATCACTGAGGCTAGGATTTCTAGTACTATGTTGAATAGGAGTGGTAAGAGTGGGCATCCTTGTTCCTAATCTTGGAAGAAAAGTTTTCATTTTTTCTTCACTTGGTATATTTTCTGTGGGTAAGTCATATAAGTAGCCTTTATTGTGTTGAGTTACATTTTTTCTATACTTAATTTGTTGAGTTTTTTTTATATATATGAAAGGATGTTGAATTTAGCCAATTGTTTCCCAGCATCTAGAGATAATTTTTTTTTCATTCTGGTAATGTGGTGAAGAACATTTATTGGTTTATATTTACTGAACCATCCTTGCATCCTATAGGTAAACATAATTTGATTATGGTGAATGATCATTTTAAGGTACTGTTGAATTCAGTTTGTTAGTATTTTGTTGAGGATCTGTGTTTATCAGCGATACTGGGCTATACGTTTTTACTTGCAATGTCTTTGTCTGACTTTGGAAGTATCCTTGCCTTTTCAGTTTTTTGGAAGAGTTTGGGAAGTGCTGGCATCAGTTCTTCTTTTAATGTTTGCCTCCTGCTGTGCCAGAAGCCTAAGGCAGGAAGATTCCAAGTTTGAGACCGGCTTGAACAACTTATTGGAACCTTGTCTCAAGGTAAAGAAGGAACAGGGACATAGTTCAGTGGCAGAGCACTTTTCTAGCTTGTGTTAAGTCCCTGGGTACAATCCCTAGTTCTACAAAAAAAGAAAAGAGATTTTGGGGGTAGAATTTGGCCATGAAGATATCAGGATATCAATATTGAAGTGTCACATGGGCAGGACCTCCTGGCACTAGGAGCTGTTCCACTGTGCTGGGGGCATGCTGCTCTCCGTCCAGAGTCCTCTGCTGTGGAAGGGAACAGGCTCTCATACTCATTGTTTAATCTCCATTCTGGAGATTGAAATTGGTTTGGTTGAATTTTTTTTTAATACTGAAATATCCCAGAGTCACCTTGATCACAGATATAAAAAGGGAGAGGATTGCTGGAACCTCTAGGGACCCCTGGGGACAATCAGGGCAGTACCTCTCAGGAGGGTGGGTAGCAGCCCATTACCACAGAAATGGCGCAGGATCGACCTGTCAACCTAAGGGGAACTGGTACTGGCACCAGGCAGATGGTGGATGGCTGAGCCCATGCTTACTGACTGGGCTGGCCTGGGCCTACGCGTGGGCATTGTGCCAGGTCAAGGCAGGGGTGGGAATGGAGACACTGGCTTCCTCCTGGGCCCACCCCTCCTCATTCTAATTGCTCCCAAATGATTCACCCTTGTGTTTCTCTGGTGACTCATGAGTCAGGGCCTAGGGCTGCAGCACGTGCTACCTGTGGATGATGGATGAGCCAGGGGCATCTCACTCTGTTCCCATGGGTCACTGTCACAGGTATGAGATGCTGTGTTACAAGGGACCAGTCCCTACCTCTACTACAGCCAGTCCCAGTCCCCATAACATATTTACATTTTCCTATTTTTTGATCTCTTAATACACACATCCTTCCTCTTCTCAAAACAGGTACTACTCATTTGTTTACCTTTTAAAATGAGTAGATATGAATTCATTTTGTTGTAGGCCTGGCTGTGTCTTGAGTCAGTCAAGGTGTCAGGAAGCTGGGACTGAGGAAGAAATAGCAATTCTGATCTCCTGGTCATTGTTATCACAGCAGGTTTGTTTTGTTTTAATCCCCAGCTCTCAGTTCTGGAAGCCAACTGAGTTGCACCACATTGTAACCCAAATTCCCAAGGGAAAAAATTCCAACTGGGCAAATTAGTTGGATATCCTCCTTGGTTCAATCATTTGGGTCCCACATATGTTCAGGAGGCTAGGGTCATGTAGCACCAAAAGTGGGGCCCTACACAGGAAAAAATCCCCCCAGACTGTGCGTGTGGAGTAAGAATAGCATTTTGGAGAGAAGACTCGGTTAAGTATCATGCTGTGCCCCATAAGGAGACACTGAGATCTTAGAAAAGGTGAAACTCGTCAACAAAGCTGGCCATGCATAGTCAGCAGAAGTGGCCACTGTGGCCCCCTGCAGATCCTCCCCACAGGCACACTTACCGCTGGGTGACAGTCAGGTAAACCTGTGTCCTCAGCACTCTGTCCTGCTGCCCCTGAGCTGGGTGACGTGGGGCCGGGGTAGGGTGAACTTAGGAAAGGTCGAGGGATGGGGGTGGGTAGGGCCCACTGCCACTCAGTTCTCAGAGATTTGTGGGATTCAAACTGCATGAGCATTTGCACAGAGAAGACAGTGCTTCAGCTGACCCTGGAGCTACTCCTCAAGGGCCTTTTTGAGTTCTTACAACTGGCATCTATTTGGGTTGCGAGAAAACATCTTCTTCTCGTCTGCTAATCTGAACACAAAACACAATCACAGATATGTATTTCCCAATATGATCTGAGATAAAAACATACATAGTTTGGGGGGTTTTCTTAGGACCTCGCCAAGGCCTGACAACTCCGGGAGGGATCCATGTGCTAGAAGAAGAGACCACTGCTAGTATCCCGGATCCCTGAAAGCATGTTCACAGTACCAAACCTACAAGTTCCAGGAGTGTGAGAGAAGGTCTAGCAGGTTGACATGGAATCCCACAGGCTGGGCAGCACAAGTGTGGCAGACAGTATCTCCTGAGCACTTGCCAAGTACAGGGTTCTCACTTCCATACCAAGGATGAAGAGGAAGACACAGTCCTGTCTCTGGAAACTGACCATCTGCACGCACAGGAAAGACATATGCAGGTTAGAAAGATCATGAAGGTGGGAAATGTCCTAAGTGGCCAAGTAACCTAGTCAGTGTGTCTCTGAGGAGTTGTGTGTAGACAGAGGGTGAACCTTCAGAGGTTTGGGGTCTTCATGGAGATGAAAGAATGGGGTGGGCAGCGGCGAGGATGAAGGTGAAGGTAACAGTTGGGACACTAGAGTGTAGGATTTACAGATGTGAATGGAGGAGAAAAGTTCAGAAATAGATCAGAAATGCAAGGTCTTGAATGGCAGGCTAAGTAATGAGCATGGAAGATTTTCAAGTAAGGGGAGAAGAAGTTATTGTTAGGAAGTGATGTGCTTGTGGATTCCAGGCTTGAGCGGAAACCACTGGAGTTGAGGGGAAATGGGTCAGAAGCCATGACAAGTGATTCAGGATCCAGAAGTTCAGAGCTTGGATTCTAGCCTACATGGGAGTGGGGGATTTGGGAATAGATATTTGACATGCTATAAAGGTTCCCTGGGACTTGCTAGCTCATTTGTCATGGGAAGAAGAGAGAAAATATCAAACTTGAATGGTCAGACTGTACCAGTGGTAGAAATAGGGGATATTTTCCACATCCATGCATCCATCAAGAGGAGAAGTAGAGGGTAATCAATGAACTCCATGCAGCCTGCCCTCAAGGAATACACATCCCTTTCTCTTATCCCCAACTTTTCCAGGAAAGGCCCTAAGAACCATCCAAGATATATCATGGTGAAGACGGCAGAAGGATAAAGAAGAAAGAAAATTCCATTGCTGATACTGTAATCAGAACTTTACTCACATTCTGAAAAATCCTTAAAATAACCCAAAGAGCTTTGGGAGAGGAGTGCAGGACTTGTCTGCCCAGAGAAAGGGCTCTGCATTCTACAGCACTTTAGGTCTTCTCCTGCCTGCCTGGCACCAAGTGGACAGGCAGACAGATGGGCTGAAGAAAGCCCTTATGGGAACACGGTCCGCCTTTGGCTAGAGATCCTCCTCTGCTCCGCCTGTCAGGAAATTGAGCAAGGGCAAGCGCCTCTTGTCAGAATGTCAGGCAGAAAAGGGATTTAGGGGAACAGGTGGGGAGTTTATTTTTGGCTGCTTTGAGTTTGACAGGATAGTGAGGCCTCAAGGAGACAGGGAGATCTGAGCTTAGATGGGAGGCTGGGGCTTGAGTTCAAGGCTTGGGGTCGTCTGACAGAGACAGGGACTTGAGACTTTTGTTCAAGTTCATTCTTCTTTAGAGCAAAGTTGACATTGGTTCCTCTCGAATTTGCATTCCCACATCAGCTGGTAGAAGTAATAAGATGACAGATGAATGCTAATGAGAAAATGAATGGAAGAGACATTTTATAATTACTCAAGTTGTGATTATGGATACTCATCGAAGGAAAAAACAGTATTTTTCCTGAACACGAAGGACAGGACCAGGGATTGGACTTTAAGGTCATGTGGGTTTTCCCTTTTGTTCCCCCCTATTTTTCTTTTCCCTACCAACAAATTAACTTAGACTCTAGACCCAAACCCATTTGATTTCTTCCAGGAAGGCCTCTGTTAATTTGGATCTAGTCTTCTGACCCTCAAGGGTTGTGGGTGACTGAATGCTACACAGTTGTTCATTGAACAAACAGTGGGTTAATTCTAGGGCTGCAATTTTGGTTTCTCCCCTCAATTTCCAAAAAGGAAGAGAATCAGGTCCCTACAAAATAGTAAAGAGATATGAGGAAAGCCTAGACGTTGTCCGTATTGAAGATGTAGGCAGATGCTACTGTGCAACTCTAAAATGCACATGTTGAAACCTACCCTTAAGAGCATGGTGACAGAAGGTGAAGGGGGACTTTGGGAGGTCAAGGGCAGACCCTCATGAATAGAATTAGTACCCTTATAAAAGAGATCTGAGTGTTTCTTTGCTTCTTCCACCATGTGAGGACACAGCAAGAAGTTACTGTCTGTGAACCAGAAAATGGGCCCTCACCAGACACTGAATCTATGGGTGCTTTGCTCTTAGACTTTCCAGCTTGCAGAGCTGTGAGAAGTAGGGTTCTGTTGTTTATAAGCCACTTAGTTTATAGAAGACCAGACTAAGACAGCAGAGGAGCAGTAACAGAGACAAAATGCAGTTAGGGCTGGAAAAATGGGCGTCAAGAAAGCCAGACATCCAAGGAGGAATGAGTAAAAGGATCAAAAACAACTACATCCAAAGAATAAAACCACTCTTGCAAGCTAGCAAACCTGTGAACACTTGGAACAATGCACTGTTTTGTAGGGTGGTGTTTTTTTTAGGCCCACAAACTCTCTGCACTCTTTCCCTCATTGTGTGATCGTCATAACTAATGACAGAGTGGTGATGTAGGTTACTGCTGAGTCTAAGTCATAAAGACAATGGCAAGAAACAGTGTCTGGAAATTCCCTTTGGTAGGCAGAATAACGTCCTCCAAAGATATCCATGTTCTAATCCCCTGAGCCTGTTAATACGTTAGGCTACACGGCAACAAGAAATTTGGGTTGTTAACCAGCTAATCTTAAAATAAGGAGGACATTCCAGATTGTCCACTTGGGCTCAGCATAATCACACAAGTCATCACAAGTACAAGCAGGAGGCGGAAGAGTCAGGGTCAGTGTGGCCTGCCCATTGCCAGCTTTGAAGATGTGAGGGAGCCAGGAGCCAAGGAACTCAGGCGGTCTGTTGAGCTGGAAAAGGCAAGGAAGCAGAGTCTCCCAAGAGCCTCCAGAGGGAATGCAGCTGTTTGATTTTTAACCCAGAGAGACCCATTTCCTGTCGTCCAATACATCCAGCTGTGGTAATCTGTTGCAGCGACAATAAGAAACAAACACAGAGCTATGCCTACGCTTGTCCTGTCCCCTATCTGATCCATCTGCTCTCCTTATGCGTTTATTATTTGTACTTATTTATTTATAGTGCATATTTTCATTAGGTATTTTTGTTAAAACTATAAGCTCCTTGGGAATAAGCCTATGCTGTGTTTTGGCTTCTACTTTTCAGATGTATATCTGAAGCACCCAACACATTGCTCCTTCCATTAAGACTCTGACCAGTTACTTATTGGACTGTCTAAAAGTGGAAGCAGCCAACTTAGCAAAGAGATAAAACAAGAAAAGGGCTGATGTACAACAAAATACAGAAACCAGTTTATCCTTCCTCTGTTGAGCTGAAGCCAAAGAATCTCATCGGTGGCAGGATAGCTTATTGAGGCGCTTTCTTCACCTCTTTCTTTCCTCTAATTTCCAGCTCATAGCCAAGATTTTTCTTCCGTCAGTTAGGGGACGAGGGGAAGAGACAGAGGGGACAGGCAGAGGCTAGGAGGTCACCGGCTCCTTCCCAATTTGTCAAGGCCTCAAAGGGATGCAACTCCTTTGGAAGGGAGGAAGACAGGAAAGATTCCAGGGGGTAGGGAAGGTGGTCTCCAGGGCCAAGAAGGTACCAAGTTCCCGTGAGCAGCAGGGATCTGAGCGCTGCTTGAAGATAAGGCCTCAGAAGGGAGCACCGTAAGCCAGACCAAGGCCTGGAGGCCCCATGCAGAGTTCAGGGGCTGAGAATGTGAGGAGTGGGGGCGGGTAGGGCAGTGGGGTATATCCTGAGACCACCCACACTGGCAATGGATATCTCCACAGCCTCCCGGGCTTTGACCTGGGCCCTTTATGACAAGTGAAATGCAGGGAGGCCGAGTGTGGGAGCCCTGTGTTAACTAAGCTGTCCCTTCTGACTAACTTCTGGAGGACACGGAGAGAGGGGTTGGGATTGCAAATATGGTAATTTAGGACAAAACTACTAACCCTCTGCACATCCAAATTTTGGACTAGTATTCAAATGATGACACTTCTTTTGGCTTTAAATGAAGATTTTTAATCTCAGGGTGGAGGCCTGGATAGGGATGGTGTTAAAGAGGGTAGCACATCCTTGTATCCTTGTTGTACAGCTCAATGAGTGGGGAGAGGACAAACCAGAGCTGCTGGTAGATTGTGTGGTGCACTAGGTGGGAAGCACATACTCCATCTCATCCGGGAAGAGGCACAGATACATCAGAAGGCAGCTCCAGATGCCAAGCGTGAAAAGGATTTCCAGGCCTGGTGTGGAAGTTTCCTGCTAGGTGGGGAGAAAGGTAGGACCCTGAGGCTAGGTCAGGTCTGCAGCTGGCGGGGCAACCTCCCCACTATGGGAACTTCTGGGGCGCAGCCTCAGGCTTGGCCACCCAGGTCCTCCTTTCTGGTGTCACGTCCTCTACAACTGATTGGCTATGCTGAGTGGCAGGGTCCATTACTGTCCATGCTCCCTGTACAAGCACAGGTGGGGTTTGATGAAAAGGCAGCTGGAGCACACTCCCTTTGGGATAACAATACACCCACTGAGATGACATATTTCTTGTACGGATCTACCTACCCCTGATTGTAGTTGGTCTTTAAGGCACACAATATACATTTCTCCTGCAGAGGACAGAAATGGAACAAGAAAGATCACTTTTCCTTGGTCCAAGGTGGCCAACCTGCCGGGTACCTCCTCAAGCCTTGCTATAGGAAAGGACAGAATGACAGTGGGACTTGGGAGCAGGCACATCCGGGATCAAGTCCTACGTGGTAATGGCTTGGGAAGATCCATGGCATAGGCAGCAAGGCAGGTAAGGAAGGGCTCCAGCTTAGGGAGGCACCCAAGGGCTAGCAGTAGGGCGATGCCAGCCCCTTTTACAGCAAGAGCTCAGGGGTAGGCAGGGCAGAGGAGCCCGGGCTCCAGCTCGGTACTGGGCTCAGATGAGGCTTCACTTACACAGCAGCTGCTACACTGATGAAGGGAATCCGGCAAGTCCTTCTCTGCCTTTGGTGGTGCCATCATCTTCTTGCCAAGAGGAGATGGTGTTCTGTTAGCTCCATCCATTTCCTTGAGCCTGAGCTGTGGGTCTACGTCAGTTGATCCCACCAGCCCGAGGTCCTGCTGTCCCTTTGATCCTCTTTGAAGGGGACTGGGGGTTAGGGAGAGGTGGAGAGTTGGGGAGACAATTTCTATCAGTGTACAGGTGGCCATGGCCGGCCTTGACTCCAAGCCATTGGGGCAGTCAGAGCCAAGACATCTCCTTGAGGAGTCTGACTGTCCTCTGAATCCTGAGGGCATTCAGCAAAGAGAAGGAGGGAAACTCTTTAGGGATGAGGAGTGATGGCCCCAAGTAACACTTACAGTTTGTCGTCCTTCTGTATATTTATTAAAACATTCATCTTCTCATCCATATCCTTCTGCATTTCCTCCAAGAGAGAATTCAAGACTAGAACCTTCATTTTGAAGTTTTTGAAGATAAGACCTTAAGTGTCTTATCCTCTCTCTCTCTCTCTCTCTCTCTCTCTCTCTCTCTCTTTCTCTCTCTCTCTCTCTCACACACACACACACACACACAATACAACTTCTTCATGAATCTTCACTAGACATGGCTAATGGAATAGCCATGATGTGGACCTATTCTCCCTCCAAGACAGCCCCATTCTAACACAAGACCAAAGCACAGGCAGTCAGTAGAGGATTTATCCAAGGTCTCTAGGTGACTTAAGAACCAGACACAGATCTCAGATATAAAACAAATAGCTGCTTTGGTTTGATGCCTATAAAATGATGAGAACAAGAAATCCAATACACTTGACCCTGGCCTATGTTTTTGTTTGCTCTATTCTTACCCATCCCTGGCAGAAATGGTCAACAGAAAGTAAAGTTGACAGTCACTATAATGACACAGCACACCTAATATTCACAAAGAACTGAGAGAATAAAAATCATTCTTGACAAAAGTTAGTTCTGTAAAATTTGACCTTGGGAAACTGGATAGAAATAGTGCACATGAAAAAATTCTAAGGGGGCAGAAGCTAGAACTGGTAACGTTTGTTATAGGGAAAACAAATCAATCATTATGAAATATAACTGAAAATCATTGACTTCAATAAAAGTAATTTTTATACAAAAGGAAACAACTGGAACCAGTCTAATCTGTTGAAGAAAACTGACCGAGAAATTATACTCTTTGAGGGAAGATGATTTCAGATGATATCTTGGAAGCATTTTTAAATGTTAGTATAAATTTTGAGTAAAATATTTGTAGCCAGTGTCCACATATGAGGTCAAAATGCCCCGTGTTTATGCAAGTCTTACCCCTTCAAACCCACTGTGCTTCAGACTGATTTCCTGTTTTCTTCTCTATCATGTCGTTTCCCTACTTGTCACCACTTCCTTCTAATCATCCAAACTGTGACTCTGGTGCCATCCTGGCTCGCCTCACGATATTGGCCTTATTCTCGGTATTGAATCTGTCACTAAGAACTGTTCCATTTCCTTTTTGTATCTTTCAGATTTACCCTTTCCTTCTTTCCTACCCTCGCCCACCTCTTCACCGGGGGCCCTGGCAGCTACCAGACGCTCCCTACCTGCTCCCACCCCACCCAGGCCCCTTGCCGCCAGCTGCTCCCAGCATCTTCTTTGATTAAGAATCCCCAGAGGCCTCTCGCTGCTTACAGAGCCAAGTTCCAGCTTGTGCGCTGTTTTCCAAAACCTTCACTGCCTGCTGACTTCGCGCCTAGTCAGTTCTGTTTCTCACGGTTTCCCCAAATGATCCCACTTCGTGACCAGGAAACACAACTGTCCGTCCTGCTTCCTGCTGTGCTCAAGCTGTCCCCTGCCCAAAATAGCCTCCTTTGTGCCATTCCACACCCGGGCCTGCTTGCTCACAAAATGCTTAAGGTTTCTGCATTTTGGTGTGGAAATATGCATGCCCTTTGTAGAAAAATGTGGATAATACTCAAGAATATATGAAAAACCGCAATCTTCTCAGTCCCTTTGGCACATTTTTTCCCAGTTTCTCTATATATTTACTTACCTATTTTTTACCTAATTGAGTTTGGCCAGTATATGTCCCTTATATCTTGCTTTTTTATGTTCTTATAGGCATTCTTTATAAACATTGTCTTTAATAGCTCCTGATTTTCATTATATGGATATACCATAATTTATTTGGCTGTTCTGTTGTTGAAAATTATGGTTGTTTCCAAAATGTTATTATAAATAATCCAGTGGTGAGCATTTTTTATATGTATTTGTGCTGGCATTTCTAGTTGTTGTCTAATTCTTAATTATTAGATGCATATTATCTAATAACATTCCAAGTTTGTACAAATTTGCACTCTTGACAGCAGTATGAGCATTTCTCTTTACACAATTTTCATAAATCTAAAATTTGCTTATTTGAATGCAATAATGATCATTTCATCCACATGTATTTGGCTATTCATGAGGTAAAACCTTCTAAACATATTTATTGCTTTTTAGTTATATTTTCTTCTATGGATTGTCTGTTCATGCCCTTGCCCATTTTCCTATTTGGTTCTTGTTCATTACTGTAAGCTCAGTACATTATGGATAAAAACCTGTACTTGTCAGTTCATAGAAAATTATTTCCCCAAGCCATTGTTTTAAAATTCTGCGTGGGGAGAAAAATAAAAATAAAAAATAAAATTCTGGGTGGGGTGGGTTTCTGCCTCATTGACTGATTGAGACAGGAACTTGATATGAGGTTCAAGGCAGCCTTGAACTCACTACGTAGCCCAGGCCGGCCTTGAACTGGCAGTGATCCTCCTGTCTCGGCTTCCCAAACGCTAGCATTACAGCATGCACCACATGCCCAGCTTGCTATATTTCTTTTTAAAAACTTACAGTATAACTTATTCATAGTTAAATATGTCAATACTTTCTTTATGATTTCTTCTATTGTAGTTATATTTAGAATATGCAATTAAATTTTTACTTTTTAAATTTTTACATACTGGCTCTTCTTAAACTCTCCTTTAGACTATTTCTATTTGCAGTGTGCTAAGTGAACTGTTTTTTCATCACATAGGCAGGCAATGTTCTTACATTAGTACATACTCCTCTCCTCACTGACATTTTAAAAATCACCTTTATCATATGTTAAATTTTATGGAACTGTGGTTCTCTGCCTTGAGCATATGCCGGAATCACCTGAGAAATGTGGAAAACTACTGCCACTCCCACCTCATCCCGAAAGTCCCCAAACTAATTGTTATGGGGTGCGGCTGGCTCTAAGGGGCAGAGGGGGTCAGAATCACTCCGAGGAGATCCTGATTGCAGCCAAGTTGACTGCTGCTGCTTAAGTGTTTAGGGCCTGGTTCTCAGTCTGGGGCAAACACTGAAATCACTTGAGTGGGAAGTGGCAAGTGGCCCCACCTCATCTGGGACAGTTTCTTGGGTCGCTGGCGGTCGGATATTTTAGGTCCTTGCCAGGGCTCTGGGCACATCCTTGACAGAGAAGGCTGTTACAGGGTTACCTAGTCCCCATTCCTGCATTTACCTGGTTATCTCTGGGCTCGGCCACCCTGAGTTGATAACTGTGGCTTTGAAATGAATTTTAACTATCTGGTAAGAGTAGTGCCTCATTGCAACTCTTGAAAAATGTGTAGCTATTTGCTTTCACCTGTTTGTGCTTCTACATCAGTGGTTTTCAAACTTTTACCTGGGGAACTTGGCCAAAATACAAGGGCCCAATTTCTGTCTAAACATGAGCTTGGGATCCGTTTTCTTTGTTAGGATTCTAGTTGATTCTGAAACACATTAAAAAGTTTGTGAATCCAGATTATCTTCTATTATTTTTGTTAAAAAATAATCATTTGGAATTTTTAAAAAATTAGATTTGCGTTAAACTTCAGTGTAATCTTCCAGGCCCAACTTGACTCAGTTTCTTGGTGAGGACTTCTTTCATTATTCCAGCCCAGATTCACTACTCAGGTCTCTAAATCCCTAATTAACTGACAGCCTGATATTGTGTTGCAGTGGGGTTTGGGCCTCCACCCGACTGAAAGCACCCAGAGGGGGCAGGGTCTGGTATCTCTTTCCAGAGTGGCACTGACTGCGGGAAGGCACTCAGTGAAATCTTACCTTCATAATCTCCACAAATTCATGAAGCTTATCAAAATCTTTGTCCATTATATCCTTTATCTAATGAGGAAGAAAAATACGACTTGACAAAAACACAGAGCATATTACTGAAGTCAGTTGTGGTGTCTTTGGGGCATTTTAAGCAAAGGGCAGCTGCCTGTACCTCCGGAAAGCATTAATGAGGTCTTATTAAAGTTACTTTCTTTCCAAGGAGTCCATGAAGGGACTAGAGTGCACGTACTGTCAGATCTCTGCACTCCCAGCCTTGCAGCTTAGCTGTGGCTACTGAAAGGCTTACACATGGGGCTCAGATCACAGCTTCTATTTCTCCTTCTTGCTTGATTACTCCCTCATTCCCAAAATAGCCCATCAGTGGTTGTGTCATAGAAACAAGAGCTTCTGCCATACAGCTCACTATAGGGAGGAGGACGCAGTTGGTTCTCAGTAGCCCCCATATTCCACATCAACCCCTCACTCAGCTTTATCACCGAGGTTAAAACATGCCAATCTTAACACCACAACCAGTGATGGTGAACCTTTTCGAGCTTTATGTGACACAAACAGCCCACTGCAGCATAGGTTTGCCACTACTGCCCTAGGCTGTAGGGGATTTTTGGTCATTCAACAACTGGGTTTAGGCATCAAACAAGTAAGAAATGGGTACCTTAAAGTGCCTAATACATATGCACCCTAGGGGGTTAAGTCAGTTTGCTTTTTCTATGCAATTTCTCATTTTTCACTTTTCAAAGTCAGGAATTGCATTTTTGAAGCTATACTTTCTCTACATGGTATATAAAACCTTATTCTGTTACCTGCTTTATCTCCTCAATTTTTTCCTTGAGTTCTTCTCTCACTTCCCTGAGTTCATTCTGAGAAAATGAAACAAGGGACAGAGGGCGTAATCTTGGATGGAAGGAAACTTTTCATGGGAGGAAAGGGCAGATACTGAAGGCACTGACAAAAGAGGGAAACTTCCACAAGGAGGAGAGAAGGATGCTAAGACAATGGATCAGGAGGCTGCAGACACCAAGGGCTGCCTAATGGGACACATAGAAAAGGTCAAACTATCACTTCTTTGGAAGGCCTGCCCCAAATCCACAACCTGAAACATCAGACACACCCAAATTGGGGTCATTCAGCAAAATCAATGATCTGTAATCCTCAAAAATGTCCTAAACAGACAAAGGGTGAAAAACAAGTCCAGATTAAAGAAGAATGAAGAAATACAGCAGTTAGAAACAATGTGTGATCCTGGTGTGGGTACTGGGCCAGAAACATGGTTTTTTATTGAAAAACAACAGTGGCACAATTGGTGAAATCTGAATAAAGTCTACAGACTTGTACTGTGTATCCATGTTAATGTCCCGATGTTGAAAATTCTACTGTAGTTGTGTACGACAAAGTTCTTGTTTTTAGGAAATACAGGCAAAACCTGGTCAAAATGTACTCTCAAATAGTTCAACACACACACACATACACACACACACACACACACACACACACACACAGAGTCATCCTTTGGTATCCACGGAGGATTTGTTCCATGGTCCCTCATGACGTACATCAGAAGAGACACCCAGGAAGGGAGATACAGACTTAGCGCCTACCCAGGGACTGGAAAGGACAACTTGGAATAGGAAGTCATACGCAGCTGCTCCTCGGTATCTGAGGGAATTGGTTTGGGGACTGCCGCAGGATACTCAAATCTGCAGATGCTCACATCCTCTATGTAAATGGCATAATATTTGCATATAACCTGTGCATAGACTCTCATGTACTTTAAATCATCTCTAGATCACTTATTATGCCTAATACAATGTAAATACTACTATGCAAATAGCTGTTATACTGCATTGCATAGAGAACGATAAGAAAAAGTCTGTACATATTTAGATACAATTTTCAGTACAGACACAATATTTTTCCAAATATTTTCAATCTAAGGTTGGTTGAATCCAAGATATGAAACCACTCTGTGGATATGAAGGGGTGTGTGTGTGTGTGTGTGTGTGTGTGAGTGTGTACAGAAAAAGTCAGAGAGACAGAAACAGAGAGGAAATAAACTGATCATGATAAAATGTCAACATGTGAGGGGTCTAGGTGAAGGATGTATTAGTATTCACTGTACCGCTGTCTCCAAATTTTATGTAAGTCTAAGATTATTTAAAAATAAAAGGTGGAAAAGGGCGCCGAGAGAATGAAATCTCGAGGCTGTAAGCACCAGTGGCAGCTCTGCACTGCACGGACCCATGTGCCCCCGCTGCCTGCGCACGCACGCTGACCTTTAGCTCCTGTGTCATTCCTGTTTTGGTGAACATCCCCTTGTGTTTAACTTCTCCGTAATCGTATGTCTGTGATTGAAACAGAAACACGGCACGTTAGAAACTGCAGTGGGGGTGGCATTGCAGAGGCAGGGCTGATCACTCCACGATTCTGTCCCTCCGGAGGGACAGAGCACAGGGATGAAACCTGGTGACCCTGCCTGCGCAGAAGTTTCCTCCATCCTCCTCCTTCCTCTTTGAATTCATTTTGTTCCACTTATATTCTGATGGTTACCAGCATGGAGGTCTACAAGAGCAAAGAACCTGTCTCTCTCATTGCATTCCCCGCACCTGGGACAGATCTTGGCCACCATGAACAGAAAATGACCCTAGACTCCAAGTCACCTCCCCACGATCTCAGGCCTGGCTGCTGGCATGGCCACAAAAACACTTCTTACTCTGGTTGGCTCTGGCTTCAATTCCGGGAAAACTGCCTTGTAGTTCTTGTTCTGCAGAGAGAAGAAGCATTAGGATGGGGAAAATAGCATCCAGCCCTTGGAAGAGGACCCCCCTGTCTGTCTGTCTGTCTGAGCTTAGGCTCATATTCCCCAGCACCTGATCTGCTTTGAGACAACTCGATTCAGGTCATGTTGTCCTAATGAACACATGCCGGCCCGATCAGCGGGTAGAGAAATCAGGTGGAGAGAGAGAAACCTCAGGAAGTCTCATAAAGGTTGTTTCAGGAGTGCAGGCCTTGGGGATAGACTCAGCTCCCAATCTCGGCTGCTCTCTCTTCTGGCTTGCCAACTTGGGTGAGTTTAGTCCCTCTCAGCTTCCCTTTCCTTGTCTTTGAAATGGATGTGATAATTATATGTGAAAGGTAGACCTGCCACGTGGAGGTGGGCATGGTACAGGCCTGACCTGTGAGTAGTTGGAGGAGCGAAAGTGTTCTAGGGAGCCCCACCCAGGTGACGCCTGTGGGCATTAACCCTGCACTCTTTCCGGGCTGAGAGGCCACTTATTCTCAGAACAGAGAACGAAACATGGAAGGTTTATTGGTACATTCTCGGTACCCTCCCTGCCCCACCTCTACTCCTAGGAGCTCAGAGGCCCCACATCATCCAGCAGTGTTCCTCCTTTACCAGGTTTGTCTTCTTCAGTTCTGCCCTCTTGGCCATGATGGAGGAAGCCAGGGTGTTCTTCAAATTCCCCACCTCCCCACAGCAGCTCCCAGGACCAGCCCACTGTCCTACGCAACTTATAGGCCAAGGCACAAGCTGGGTGACCTCCTCTTCATGTGCGGAACAGCTGAGGTCACAATGCTGATCTGGAGTGTCACCACAGCTCTGAGCCTAGGTGTCTCAGCCGCTGAGATGAGGGGTTCAGGCCAGGTTTGAAAGTCACAGGTCCCCTTCCTGAAGCTGGAGAAGGCTCTCCTGGAAAGTCACACTGCGCTGCCGAGGACCGCGGCCTGTCGTGGCCAGGGCACAAAGCATGCCCTGGGAATCAGTGGCTATTCTGGAAGCAGAACGAACCCGTGACTGGGAGAGCTGTTGCCACAGACAGATGGCTTCCAGGGTCCCCTTTCCATCTCTGCTGAGCTCTCCTGACATGAAACTCTACCCCCATCTCTTCTCCTGGTTCTGCTAACGCAAGGAAAAGAGTTGGGGCAAGAAGCAATGCGTACACAGTGCTGAAGGTGAGAGGCCTGTGAGGAAAAAGACTACTAAAGGAAAGGCCATTCCGAGGGTACCTAATCCGTGCTTAAAATAGAGAAGCAAAGGCACAGAGCATCACACGAGACCTAAAATCATTTGAAATCTGGGTTTGTGAGCCTGACTTTTCTTCTTTTCTGAGGCATTCCACTCCACTCTGCCCTCTTGTTTGAATGACTACAGTTGGCACAGAAAAGGCCAAAGTGGGCTGAGAGCAGACGGCCCAGGAGTACGGGAGCGGACGCAGGCTGCGAATCGAGTCACATGCCCACACCAGGTAACATTCCTCACACTCAGCCTCCCATTCCATGCAGAGGCTTTGCCTGTCTTTGCCAGAGGCCAGGCCCCTGGAACTTCCTCAGAGCTGATGCTGCCTGTATTTTTGATGCATTTCCAAGGTGGAGATTTCCCAGTCCCCAACCATGACAACCCAGGAAGGGAATATTTCTGTCACCTTTCAGCTGGGAGGGAGGCTTAGGTGGTGGTGGGCTTCCCGTGCCTCATTTCTTCATGTGTAAATGGGGTACTGCAACTGTCAGGGTCCTCTGACTGTGTAGCTCAGTCCTCCCAGATGCACTGGCCCACATGGTGAGGAAAGCTCCTTCTCTACAGGTATCCAAGGACCTTTACAGGGCCGAGTGGGGAACTACAGTAAAAACAACTGACTTCACATCCATTTACCAGCCTTGTGAAAGCAGGCATCTTCCCTTCCTCTTGGCTTTGGATTGAGAGCCTCATGGATCTGCAGCAAAGTGTTCTTCGCTCAGCTAAGCAGTTGTTAAATGAGCTGCCGTCTAGCCAAACACAGCAAGTGAGCTCCCTGGCCTATGTATTGGGAGAGTGGATCTAAAAGAACCAAGTCTCTCAAATTCAGTGTAAATGCACACACACACACACACACACACACACACACACACACACACACACGCACAGTATTATCATTTGGATAGAAATTTAGCAACAGACCTACAGCTCCGGGCTTGGGCCTTCTCAGTGTCTACTATTCATGGTTCCAAATATGTGCTAGGGAAGTCCACTTGGTGAACCTGGATGAGTCATATCCTTTATATAAGGACTAGGTTTAAGCCACATTGTGGCATTTGTGGTACGACTTTTTCTGTGTAAGCTGTAGGTTGTTCTTCCCTGAAGAATCCTAGATATGCTTCCCCTAAACCCGTTCATGGCACAGTCTGTTAGTGTCAGGGAAGGAGCTTGAAGAGCCGATGCTCCATCGGAGTTTGAGGAAAAGGCTATTCATGATAGAGCAGTACTATACAGTAAGATCCTTGCCTTACCTCCCTGTTTTATTTCCCTACAGCATATTTTGTTCCAGAAATGTAATAGTTTGTTTCTGGGTACCCTCCTGCTCAATGTATGAACCTGCTCAAGGTTCAAAAGGGAAGTCTATTTTGGACATTGATCTAGGAATAAATCTCCTATCAAATATGAACTGGAAGAGTTAAGATTAGGGTTAGGGAACCACTTCTGTGTCAGCTGACTGGCCAATGGGCTGGGACACTGAGATGGAGATTCTTCCGGTCTGTCTAGATCTTTTCAGAACAATAGTTCCTGTCTATCCCAGGACTGTCAGGTTGCTGAAGTCCTCTCTTTCCACCGCAGGCTCATCTCCGATGGTCACCAGAATGTGGTGCTGGTGTGAAACTTCACCTGCTGTTCTAAGTCTTCAGAACATCACTGGGGTCAGAACTATTTGCCTGAATGTTGCCGGTCCCTCTGTGGAGGTTGAACTCTGCTGTTCTCTTCTTCCAACAGACCTCTGATTCTAGTCCTAAGAAGCCACCTGACTTGACCCCTGCCTGAAAATGTCTACTTCAGGGTCCTATCCACCAAATATGGACAAGGACTTGGACAAAACTTTTTCAGAACCCAGAGATAGTGGTTGCTGGTTGGTTTCCTGTTGAGTCAGTTTGGCCACTGACAATTTCATATCTGGTTTACCTCCTCTTCTTGAGCATTCTACTCTTGGAAGTCATTAGCCTCTTGGAGCTAAGTCCTTGTTAACACTGGTCTGGAAGGATCTTCTCTTGGTAAGGATTCTGAGGCTTGTGCTGGGGACACAGCATCTCTTTGCTGGAGCTATGGTGGTGATGAAGGCTAGGGAAGCTGTGATTATTTAAATTAGTCTTGAGATATAGCAGCTGATGATAGGTCCTGAGTTCCAATGTGGAGAGAACCAAGGAAGGAGAGAGAGAAGAGGCAGACCCAATCCCAGTATGAGCACCATCGTACTCTGGGAAACTGAGTTGTGAGTGGGAGCATATGGGTGCGCCCAGGGCTTGGAATAAGTGATTTCTAAAGGTTTGCTCCTCTCCTTCCTTTTTGTTATATTTCTGAACTCTATGCAGGCTGTGGACTTTTTTCCTTTATTGGCCCTGAACAATGGCACAATGTTCACAAATAGGCTGTATGGTTTTCTGGAGCTAGAACTCAAGGGATTCCACATTCCTTTTGAATTTAATGTCACTGCTCGGATTTACTCTAGATTTGATAAAAATTTTTAAAACATACCTGTGTTGTGGTTGGGATCTAAAAGGTTTACCCAAACGCTCATTGTTTTGAAGGCTTTGTTGTCAGCTTATGTGGTTTGGGGGGAATTGATCAGATTAATAATTTGATGGCATTAGTGGGAGGTAATGGAAATTTCAGAGTGAGGCCTAACTGAAGGGAGTGGGATCACGATCTTTGAGACTATACCTTGTCTCTAGCACCTTCCTCTCTGACTTTCTCATCTTCTCTGCTTCCTGGTTGCCATAAGGTAAACAGCTCTCCCCCACCTTGCCTTTCCACTGTGATGTTTCTGCCTTGCCATAGGCTTAAAAGTAGTTTAGCCAGCTGACCATGGACTAAAACCTCTGAAACTATAAGCCCAGATGAGACTTTCCTTCTGTAAGGAGTTATCCCAGGTATTTGTCACAGTGATGGAAAGCTAACACAATCCAGGTCCATTTTGATTAGTTGGATGTGAAATTAGCTTTTGTTTAGCTTCCAGTCCCTCTATGAGGAAGCTGAGCAGAGCCCAGGGGCTGCCTCTCAAAGGAAGCTGAATCTGTCTTGTTCATTTTTTTTTTTTTTGAGATGGGGTCTCACTATGTAGTTGAGACTGACCTAGAACTCACTATGTAGCCCAGTCTGGTCTCAAACTCACAGCTATCCTCCTGCATCAGCCTCCCGTGTTGGGATTACAGGTGTGCGCCACCACACCCAGCTAGGAAGCCGAATCTGAATCAACAGTTCTTCAGCATGGTTCTGAACATTATTCCTGGAAGCCCAGACTCTCTAGTTCTCCTAACAGTTAAACCAGCTTACTGTGGATCCTCTCTACAAGCAAGAAGCTGACGCCAGCTTTGGCTGCACATTCCTGTGATTGAGATCTTCAGAAAGTCTTACATGTAGCGGTAACTCCTGGTTGTGACCCATAAGGACACTTCCTATGGAAATTCTGTGGACCACTCTTTGCTGATCTCTTATGGATTTCCAGGGTTGGTCATTTTACCTAGGTGATCACGGGCATGAAAAAAAGGGGTTCTGATGCCTTTCTATTTAAGTTTCCTGTGATTTAAAAAAAACATAAGTATTTTCACTTTGTCGCCAAACATTGGACCGGTAGGCCATTTTTCCGGTATCAGTGCATGTATGATGGCCTTTTCTTCACAAGGGTCTGGTGTTTCCTCATCTCGTATGTTCATTCCAGAGCACTTTCCCCAGCTGCCCTGGCCGTAAGGAGCCATGAGACTGGGTGCCAGGTCCACCCGGGAGCCTTCCTTCCTACCTCCTCCTGCTCCTCCCTCATGGGGCTCTGAGGGGTTCCTGGACCATGTGACAGACAAGCACTTTGAGAAGGACCCTCTGGGGCCCTGGGCTCCAACTCAAAGTGGAGGAAGATGCATGAGTGACATCATTCTGCTGGGTGGCAACAGCCTTGAAAAATTGCTTCCCAGGGAAAGACAACTTAGATTGCTTCAAACACTGGAGCAAGTCACACTCATTTGCTAAACCTCCCAAATATAAATGTTAACTTATTTTAATCTAAGTATTGATTAAACCCAAGTAATCCCTTTCTTATGTGCCCATACTCTAAAATCTGTGACATTTACAAACCTATCATAGAATCACATATCCCAGGGCTTGCTTGGTTCTCAGTCCTACACCTCACTGGCAGGTCCAGGCCCTGGGCCAGACTAGTTCATACTAAAGAGCTCTAGTTCAATATGCGAAGTGACAGTATGTGTCTTCCTGTTCAGCAAAGGCATGGGTGTGCACACCTGTAATTCTAGCACCGAGGGAGGCTGAGGCAGGAGTATCTCAACTTGTAGTCCCACCTGGGGAATTCAATGAGAACCTGTCTCAAAATATAAAAAGGCATGGGGTATAGCTCAGGACCAAGGCCTTGGGTTCAATTCATCGTACTGAAAAATAAAATCTCCCTGTCTGTTCAGCACACATTTTTCAGGAATTTACTGTTTGTGAAGCCCTCTGTGGAGTACCAGTGACACAGGGCGAAGAAGACATGGCCCTCGCCTGTCATTGTCAGTCAGGCTAAAAGCAGCGTCGACACACCATTTTGATGTGATGCAGTAATTTCAATGGAGCTGAGTCTTCCACGTCCCCCTGGGCCTCATTCCTGGCCTTGTGAGCTCCCTGGAACTCTAGTTCCTCTTTAAATCTAGTGCAGGAGCCAAGCAGGGCCACGCCACACGTCAAGTGCCTGACTTTGCCAGTGCCAACAAAGCACACGCCCTCGCCTCACCAGTGAGCCCTGGTGAGGGGGATTCACCTGGCTGCAGCTCATTACTTGGGCCTTCCTTTGAGCCCATAGTTCTTTGCCTATCCCAGCAGGGGTGTTTCATACCAAGGTAGCCTGCTCAGACTGCTTAATCTGGCCCAGCTGCACCTTTCTTGGCCTTGTCACAGCATACCACGGTTAGGAGCGGACTCAAAGCTGTACATTGTCGCTAGCAAGAAGGTATTCTCTGAGCTGTATGTGCATCATGCTGACTTTTCACCAGTGGGAATCTTTGCAGGCAACACATTCATGCTCTCAAGGTCCTGTGTCTTCTTGCTGCAGGGAATAACGAAATATTTATAACTGTGACAACCTTTGCTCATGTCTCTCTCAGACTTCAGTAGTCAGAGTTAGAAAAATACAAGCTCCACAGGAGGGAGATTTGGCAGGAATCCAACGGGAACCTAACCTGGGTGCCTTCTAGCGGGCACCACCGGGCACATCCTGCTTTGCTGCCCACTTGTCCTGTCTCCTGCTTTCTCGATCCATCGCTCCACTGGGCATAGCTCAGCCCACCCTCAGTCTTGGCACTCATGGTCTGAGTGCAGGGTTTTTCTCTGGTGCTCTTTCTTCTACGGCAGTCCCAGCAGAAGGCCCTGGGCTCTCAGTCCTCCGTTTAGATGCTAGACCCTAGCTTTTTTGATACCAGGTCCCTCCCTCCTCTCCTTTCCACAGCTGGCGACGTCAACCCACAGCTGGCCACATCAAGGTACGTCTCCGAGGAAGACGTTTCTCTCTCAGCTCAGCTTTGTGAATCAGCCCATTCTGGCAGTAAGCCTCTTCCACGCATTCATGTTGCTGCTTCTCCCGCCATCCACCTAATATGAAGGTATTTTATCCATATCCTTCCAATCGCTCATTCTCCCAGGAGGGGAAATCCTGCTTTTCAGAGTTCCTGGAGCTTATCCTGTCACAGTCCCTCTGAGCTCTTTCTCAGACATAGTCTCAAGGCTTGGGGCCTGGAATGCTCTGGTTTGGTGCTTTCGTGGTGGACCTACCAGGCTTCTTCCTTGCACATTGATTCTAGAGCTCAGCACTGTGTAATGGGTTAGTACTTTGTGAACTGGACACAGTCCTTGCTCTCAAGGTCTCACAGTCTGGTGAAAGGAGAGAGACAGACGCGTGCTTTCAGCCTGGAGGTCCAGGCGCTGCCCTGGGAGATACTGAGCAGGCCCCCGGCGTGGGGATGCCTAGCCTCTGAGGCCCCTACACGTTTGCTGAGCACGCCTCTTGGTTTTTCTCGGCTCCCAGAGGGAAGCCTGGGGCCCAGCAAGGCCCTCCATTCAAGAGACTTGCTCGAGCAGACTAGGTGAATGGCAAAATCACAAGGTTAGAGATGTTTTCTGGACCAGCATTGTCAAGTGGTCTTGAGAGGGCCCGGCACGAAGGTGTTGCACCACCCAGATGAGGTTGTATGAGGCCATCACAAGCAGGAAATTATTGTCGAAGCACTGACAACTTTTTTTCCTCTTTCTTTTTTTGACCATTCTCTCTGGGGAAGGCTGGAAGGGGTAGAAGGCAGAAGAGTCTTCCAGACTTTGCTTCCTGGAAATAGTGAGGGCTCTGGGCATAAGCAGGATGCTGGGGTACGGAGAACACAAGCTGTTTTTGTTTCCCCAGAGTGAGTGGCTTGGTCTCCAGTCAGTTCTTACCCGGGAGCTCAGCCTAGACGACGGGGGGCTCTGATATCACTGATGCAGGACTTGTCGGGGGTCGTTATCTTCCCATCTCACACTCTCCATTGACCTGAGCTTGAACGCTTGCCCTGGTACTTCTTTCTGTGGAGTCTTGAGCAAGCTATTTCATCTCTCTGGCTGCAGCTCTCTCCCCGGTGCAGTGCAGACACTGGCAGTGGCTCACTGGTGTGGTTTTTGTGAGGATGAGGAGGTATCTCGGAGAGCCTGGCCCACACATGCTGGCTCCGCCTCCCTCTTTAGTCCCCCTCCCCCTCTCCTGCCTCCCTGTCCTTAGCTCCTCTGGCCTCAAGGACCCCGGGGGGGGGGTTTTACCACCCAGGGCTTGGGCACGCTACACCCTCCCTCCACAGCAGGCAGCCTCCAGGCTGGCCCTCCTCCTGCATCTGATTATTCTTTGCCTGATCTGTGCTGCCTCCACCCAAGTTGGAGGAGGACAGGGATATTTCTACTTTTTTCAGGCTGTATCCCCGTCACCTCTCACAGTGGCTGGAGAGCCCTAGGCACTGAGTATTTGCTTAGTAAAATCCACTGGTTTGGGTACCAAAGAGGAGGAGTAGAAAGCACGACGAAATGACCTCAAGACCAGGCACAGCCTCTGCCAGAGGCAGGCAGCTTTCCACCCACAGGCTGCCAGTTCTGTGTGCAGCCATGGGGGCTGCTGCTATCCCTGTGCATGGCAGGGAAGATGCCGCCTGGCCGACAGGGGGTGCATGGAGGTTCTCTCTGAGGTTCCTGGGTAGCAAGGATGGAGGGAAGACAAAGTACAAAGAAATGAATGTTTTCAACCTTCATTCCAAGGATGGGGAGAGAAGGAAGCATCCACAGCCACCTCTCCCCAGCTTGCTGCTTTGACCCAACTCCCTGCTCACCCTGGCCCCACAAATCCAACTTTTGTTCTGCAGCCAAATTTTACCCATTTGGTTCCTCACCAATTCAGGTAACCAAGAGAGACTTATCTGGAGCCGAGTAGTAGGTAATGGTACGAAATAGTCCTGACACCAACAAACTTAAAGACAAGTTGAAGACAGTCATCAAGGAGATGATAAGCAGGATAATTATAAAATTATGTGGCAAATGCAGTGAAAGAAATCAGAGTAGGAGGTGTGAAGTAGGGGGAGGCACCCGGGGTCATCAGATACAGCAGTGGGAAGGTTTCACTGAGAAAGGGAGATTTGGGCAGGAGAGAAGAGCCGGAAGGAAGCCAGATGTGACCCTGGGCACGGAAAGTGCAGTGGCTGGGTGCTGAGTGCTGGGTGCTGGATGCAGGGTCTCAGCATATGGCTACGAGGAGGCCAAGCATTGTGACAAGCTGGAAACCTACGGGAGTGGCACGGTGACCTTCTGGCTCATCGTGGGAGTGTGCTGAGACCCCACAAGTAGAAAGGGCAGGACCTATTGCAGAGGTAGAGGACATGGAAATGGGTGGAGAGTTCGAGAGAGCTCCAGGAACTCAGTAGCCATAAAACTTGGGCTTTCCTGAGTGCCTAGATGCCAAGAACCCTCGAGAGAACCCATGGGACTAACAGTTACCCTGGGCGTGAGGGGCACAGTGCACAGGTCCTTGGGTGTGAGCAGTGAGTCCAGGGTGCAGAGACTGGGCAGAAGTCGTGGGGTGTGCAGGCTTCTCACACTGCCAGATATGAACCATGAGATCCTCAGATCAATTCAGTGGGCTACAGCCAGTTAAAAAATGAAACACTGGAATAAATATAAATAGGAGTCACACGTCCTAAGGGGATTTTTTCCCTATTCTTTTTCTTGGGCACAGGGATCCTCCTGCTCTTCTCAGCTACAGGTGACATCGTGGACTCTGCTGGGTATGAAGAACATCGTTCCTTTTGGTCCTTCCCTCTCCTCCCGCTTCGTGCATCCTTTCCCCCTCTGTATCTTGCCCAGTTCCCAGTCTTATCCTCCTCTCCTAGGACATGTGGCTTAAAGCTGGTTGTTTGTAGCCTAGGACCCTTAAGTACCCAGGAGCAAGGCCTTCATTCTGCCCCTGCCCTGCACGGGCAGGCCTGGCCAGTGCAGCCTTGGCCCAGCCCTCCTTTCTGGGCCCCCACAAGGGGATGGAGTCAAGGGAGGAAGGAAGGAAACTATGATCTAGGGGTCTGGGGTAGGTTTCTCCTTCCCTTTCTCCCTCTCCTCCACCCACCCACCCACTGAGCACCTCTGATGTGCCCAGGTGGGCACTGGAATATAGTGATGACTAAAGCTTGTTCTTTGCTCCCAAGTTGCCTACACCTGGTGGTAGAGAGATGAACAAAAAAAAGTCTTTTTCCAGAGGAGCATTTTAAAGCTTTGATGCTAGTCCCAGCAAGAGCATCAGACCTTTGCTCTAAGGCAGGCCTGAGTATTGGTAGATTTGAAAAGTCTCTGGGTGATTTAATGTACAGGCCCAGTTGTAAGCGTCTGATGTAGGTAATACTATGCCGTGCATGGCTGAAGGCCCAGCCCAGGGTTCCAGAGTCCTGCTCTCCATGACTTGATTTTTATTTGTAACAGGCATAGTTATACCTTAAGGAGTTGGAAGAATTCAGTGAAAATAGGGGATTGAGAGGCCAGGTGGGGATGGCCATCCCTTCCAGGCCAAGGGAGCAGCTCATGCAAAGGCCAGGTGGCAGAGGTGGGTGCAACTGGAGGCCAAAGGTGAGGGAGACTGGGAGAGAAGTCCCAGGGGGCACACCATGGTGGGACTGAAAGCTCTTGGGGATGAAGGGTGCAGTGGGGGCAGCTGTGCTGTGACAGCCTCTCCCACCCCAACCTTGCAGCTGGCAGGCAACAGCAGAACCTTGTCTCGGGTAGAGCAGGAGCTGAGCTGGGAAAAGGCCAGGTGCTAAGTGCCAGCAGCACCACACAGACATCGCCAACCTGGAGAGTGTGAACAGCACAGAGATACCGCAGCACCAGGAGGACTGAGGCATGGATCAGCCTCTTCTTCAGAGTGCGCGTTTCCGGCCTGAGCTGGTCCATTGGCTCTACCTTCACCACCCCAGTGAGGAGCAAGCTGTCTTCCAGGAGGGCATCTGTGCCACCCTGGATTCTTCACTGTTCGTTGTCCCAGTCTGGGGCTGCCTCCTGCACAGCACATGGGCCCTTCACTTGCTGTTATGGTGTGTTTAGATTTGTGTTCTGGGCCTCATCTCTCCAGGGTTGCTTTTGAGAGCATGTGTATATACATGTGTGCGTGTGTGTGTAGGGCTCTATTTTTCAAGAATACCGGGCTGTTACTCTTTCGCTACCATACTTCTCTGTGGTCCTGGTTTCTATTTTCTCTGCCCCACCCGCCCATTCCCAAGACCTCATTAGAGAAATTGCAAATCAGAATGCAGAGCAGAACACTCCACCATGTCTCCCCCTTCTGCCAGCTGACTTGGATGAGGAAGAAAAAGGGAAAGACAGGTTAGGAGATCGATTTGCATGGTTTATTGTCTCACTGTGGGTGGGAGAGAATGGAACATTTATCCTGTAGGACAGTGGTGCCAAACCTATGGCATGCGTGTTGTTTTTAAGACAAAAAATGTTAATGTGTGAATTGTTTTTTTGTAAACTAAAACGTCAGCATTCAGGTTTCATTACCGAGTTGGCACTGTAAATAAGTGGGTTTTGGATTGCAGTCTGGGTACCTGTCTCTAAAAGGTTTGCCATCACTGCTCTAGGAGATCCCCAGCTTCCTGACAAGGAAGCTTTGCGGTGGGACCAACTCCTGTGAGCATCTTTACAGAAAGTCTGCCATCGGTACTAACGGACGGGGATAGCTGTGGGGACGAGCCACCCTATCCCTGTCCTTTACGTGGCCCATCTCTGCCCCTGGCAGCCATGTTACTTATGCTTGTTGGTGCTGGAGTCACATAGGGGGGTGTATGGCCCCGACAGCAATGATCTGACAAAGTGCCAGTTCCTGGTTTTCTTTCTTAGCCAAAGCTCAGCCCAACTATATAATACCCTTCTTCCCCAAACAGGAGCAGAGGCTGGCCTGCTGTATGCCCAAGTCACAGCCATACCCTGCTTGTCACAGGATCTTAAACATAGCCTCTGGTGGTCTAGGTTTGAACTATGGGTTCCCAAGGGAGTCAGGAGATTTCCGGGGGTGGTGAGTAGGCCTGGGTCAGGGAGTCCCTGAAAAGGAAGGGCTCTGTACAGGGGCCTTACCCTGCTTTCTGCATTGTCCTACAACTCCAGAAGACAAGTCCTGAGCCCATTCACTTCAATTCTTCAGGCCCATTGCTGGTACATGGCACCAGATCACCACCCTCCTCTGAGATACTACCACTATAATCTGTTCCATGTGGAGTGAGCTTTAAAAAATAAATTGGATCACTTCCCTTCAACATACTCCGTAGGTCCCCATAGCACTTAGGATGCCATTTTTTCTTTATAGCCACCCAGGCCCTGCCTGATCTGTTTGGCCTCATCTCAACCCACTATATGTGGACTTCTTTTTGCTCTCTCAGACCATGGAGTTCCTCCCAACACTTGGACGTTTGTTCTCACTCTGCCTGGGCTATGCTGGCTCCTTCTCACAATGCCTTTAAGAGCAAAACCCCAGCTTGTTTTGTCTGATGTCTATTTTAAGGGTGTATAATAGTGCTGACTACACAACAGGTGCTCACTACTGTATTTATTGGGTCGGGGATTTAGCTCAGTGGTGCTGCTGCCTGCCTGGCAAGCACCAAGTCCCGAGTTTGATCCCCGGTACCAAAAAAGAAAAAAAAAAGTAATCACTACTGTATATACTTACTGAATAAACGTAGGAAGGAAGAAACAAGCCTATTCTTTCTTGAGCTAGGCTTTCCCAGATGCAACCTGGCAGCTTCTAGTATCTGCAGAGGATCGTGGGCAGCCCTCACCCAATGCCCCATAGCTTGAGGTATTTCTGCTTTACAGACCCTGCTGTAGGGCACAGAATCTCCTTGGAGTCATCTCTGGAGTGGACAGCTCTTCCAAAGAAAGGTACCCATCTGCTCTACCTTTGCTTTTCCGGAAACTTGGCTTGTTTTATCTTCGGCTTACCTAGCATTAGCCCTGGTTCCCTTCTACTTCCCCGGCCACTGTCGGTGACCAGACTTTGCTGCCCCCAAGCTGAAGCCCAGGGTGAGGATTGTTTTTCAGATGGGCCCAGAGGGGAAGGTGACTTGCTAAAGGAATAGAACCCCAGGTGCATCCTGGCATTTCCTCTGGGGGTATGAGGTGGGCGCTGCCTCTTCATATAAGGTGTTTGCCATTCATCTAGTGAAGGGGGTGGTTTTTCACTCAAAAATCACCCCCTGATCTTACTGCCATGTATTGTTTTTTTAATTCTTCATTCTGATATAGGGAAATTTTATGTCATCTGCTTTGTAGAGTTGGTTCTCTGCATGTTATGGAATACCAGTGGTACAGGGAAATGGCACAGGTTTCCAAGGCCAGCAGACCTGTGATTGAATCTCATTTTCATACTTAGTATAGCATGAGTTTGGGCAATTCAGAATCTCATTTAGCCTCCTTCATCTCTGAGATGAGATTAATAATATCTACTTTTCAGGATTATAGTGAGAATTTAAAAGACAATGTAGGCCAGATGGTTAGCTCAAGACTGACACATACCAGGTGCTTAACACAGAGCATTTTAGGAAATCAGTTTAGAAAGGGAAAATGTTAGGGAAATATTAGGCAAATTAGAGAGTTTGGGAGGCCCTATCTGAATGTGATGATATGATGCCCAGTTCTACAGTGTTAGCTCCATCCAGAACTCTAGAACTGATACCTTAGGTGGCGCCCCATGCTCACATCTTTCTCAAACTTCCATTACTTGGCTTTACAGATGCACACCCTGCAAATGAGACCGGCCTGGCAGTGGGCAGCCGGCCCTACTTTGGGACCTGGCTCAGCCCAGCCTCAGGCAGGGACTGAAGGTAGCAGCTGGGGGAGGCTGATACCTTACCTGAGCCCTGCCAGGAGCAGTGCCTGTGGGGATGGGCTTGCCCTGCCTCCTGCCTGCCATGTCTGTAATGAACCAGGCTTGTCTCTTCTCTCTGGCTCTACCCTATTATCCTTAATTCCGGCGGCTTCCTAGAGCCACTGTGGCAGACACTATCCGTGGAAATCACAAGTGAGCTTGACTCCAAACAAGGATTTTCTTATTTCCCATAACCTGCCATTTATTAAGTGCTAACTAAACCATTTACACACATGGTTTCATGTAATCCTGACCTTAGGTACCATTATTATCCCCACTGGACAGATAAAGGAATTGAGAATTAAGCACAAGTTGTAAGGCCATGTGTCACTATAAGAAGAGATCTCAACTCCTACTCTCCTTAGTGTTTCTCCTCCCGTCGCTGCTCTGATACATCTAGCTCATTCATTTTTCCAACCTGTTATTTAGTCTGCCTATAAAATTGTGGTTTTGAGATCCAGAACCTCAGGCTATGGTCTCCCTGTTCTTTGCCTCTAGCTGAGGTCCTTATTGGTGCAGAAACCTTCATGCGATGTGAAGAAAGAATGACGTGGTTATCAGCTCTGAAGTAGTCATAGCCACTACACTGACCTGGCCAACCTCCAGAGAGTAACTAAGGAAAACAAGGCGAATTTGAAGGACCTCACCCATGAGACAGAGGCCTGGATTGGCCTCTACATTGGTGCAAACTCTGGGATTCTGACGTGGTCCAGTGATTTGGGTGACCACATACCCTCCTGGTTGGAGAAGCGCAAGTTCAGCAGAGGACTGTGTGCAGGGCTCCGCACCTATTCACACGTGGTTTATACAGTGGTTTGCTCTTTTTGACAACCTTTCTTCTGCTTTTTTGGTGAGTGAGAGTCCACTCCTGCTGGGGCTCAGCTCCTGGAGACTAAAATAAGATGGGAAGTGGGTTTATTTGGAAGCAGGATACTCTTAGGATAGACTAAAGGAAGGCTTTAAGGATAACTGAATTCTGGAGCAGACTTCTGGGATCTTTGTACTATAAACTTATGAGGAAGTTATTTTAATTCTGAGGACCTTAAAAGACTGGACCAGACAACATCCAATCTTAGGTCATTAGCAACTAGCAACAGCAACTAGTTACTGGACAATGAAATGAGTAAGAGCCTGGGCTTTAGATTGGACAGACTTTAATGCTTTCTAGAAATAAGTGACCAGTGTCTCTGAACCTCCTTTCCTTATTTGGGAATATATTTGTCAAAGGATTGATGATATGCACCTCATAGGAAGGTCTGGAGGCTGAATAAGAGAATGAATGTAAAGGGCCTTGCAGAGACCTGGCACAGATTAAGCACCCAACAAATACCAGTTATTATCATTGTTTCGGTCACTACAAATGTGTTGTAACCAGAGGCACGCTGACTTACCCCTGATCTGGGGTATCACATGCCTCCTCAGCAGCAGGTTTCACCCTGGCCTGCCCTTTGCTTCCTCTCCTCTCTCCCTGTCCCTCTCCTGCCCGCTCCAGCTCCCCTTCCACCTTTTTACCCCTCTGTCCTCCCCCTTCCTTTCTCTCTCCTTATAGCTTTACTGAGATATAATCCATACAGCTTAAAAGTCACCCTTCTAACGTGTACAGTCCAGGGTTTTTTAGAACGCACCCACCCATCACCACTGTCTGAAGTTAGGGCATTTTTATTACCCTTAAAATAAATTCCTTACCCACTAGCAGTGACTCCATAGGTTCCCCCTGGTGACCACTGATCTACTTGTTATCCCTGTGGTTTTGTCTATTCTTGGCTGTTTCTTTTTGTGTTTTGGGTTTGATGAGAATTTTGATCAGAATCCCTTGAAGAGATTCTGTGAGGATTGAAGATGTGAAACTACATACCACGGTGACTGGCACACAGCGCACATGAACTGTTCTCTCCTGAGTCTGGTTGTTGCAATGGGAGGCTGACCTCTTGTACTTTGAGTTCGCATAGGCTGACAGCCTGTCAGGTTTGACAGACCTTGTCCTCACACTGCCTGCACTGCCTTGCAGACTCTTCACTGGAGATCAGAAGTCAGCGGCAATGCCTCCAACTCCTTTACCTCCTCCAAAGTCACTCCTTCCTCAGAAGTTACTGTGTGGACCACTGCCACACTAAGTATAGGTGCTTTGAACCTGTTCTTGCCTGGATCTGGGGGTCTTCAGGGCCCAAGGGAGCAGAGAGGTGGCCTGTATGGAGAAGCCTAGGGTAGGGACCATGCAACCCTCCACAAGGGACAGTAAGTAGCCAGCAATGAAGTGAGCCAAGTGAATGGCAATCAAGGGCCACTCAGGCAGACAAAACTCTTTGTTCCACACATTGCTGGGTCAGCCCACGGTAGGGGAAGGAGGATTTGTTCACTATCAGCCTCCCTTCTCCTTGGACTGTGACTCTGAGCTTGCAGCTCCAGTGCCAAGGCACTGAGGAGAGGGTGTGCAGTGTCTCCGGTGACATGACGAGGGCCTCACCTGGGTGACAGGAAGCAAAGACGGCTGAGCAGTGCTCCTGGGAAAAAGGCAGCAGAATGGCCTTTGAGGTTGAGCATCCAGAGAGGGAAGCACAAGAGTTACCTGTCGAAGTCCCTTCTAACTACAGCCTCCTCTGGGGGAAGAGAAGACAAGGGATAAGTTGCAGGGACTTCGTGTAGGGACATGGCTGTGAATGACAAATGATAGCATCCTGATAGCATTTTAAATTCCTGAACCGTCTTTATAGCTATCACCTCAATTTGCTTCCCAAGAGTTCTGAAGTTAACTAGGATAATTGAGAGCAAAATCACAGGTCTCCTGGCCTCCTTACAGATTCCTAATCAGACAAAGACATTACTGCCTTTATTGAGGACATTGAGAAGTTAGACTTGATGGAGGTTGATAGTTTTGCTAATTCATTTATTTTTAAAATGTGGATGTAATTCGTGCTATGTAATCAGGACTGGGATGTAAAGAAAAGGGCCTGTTCTGAAGGAGCTCACAGCCAGCTAGGGAGAGGTGGGTACTTCCTGTAGTCACAGGCATGGAGAAGGGAGTGTAACCACATGGCTGTTCCAAGCCCACTGGCTACCGGGGCTGCCTAACAGGTTTGGGAGCCCCTCCTTGCACATTCCTGTCTTCCCCAGAGAGACTCCGGCAGGCGTGGAAGCAGCACACGGATATTACACAAGGAGTTTGGTGCACTGTGCCACTCTAGCCTGCTTTGGGACCTTGGCAGAGCTTCTGGGCACAGAAGGCTCCACAGAGGTTGTCTCTCTTGTAATAGGGACCAGCACTGGCTCCACGGGGTGCTTCGCAGGTCCTGGTTTCTGCAGCAGTCAGTGAGCCTGGAGTCCACAGAGCTCTGACCTCCACCTTCTACCTCTGCAACCCCAAAGGATGGCCTCACCAAGCCCTCCAACAAACCACACATCCCCACAGGCTTTCTCAGTTTCTGAGGAAGGGCCCAGGACTCCACCGGTCACTGCCCCGAGTACATCTGTCGACTTCACGCTCTGGACACTGGCTTCCACCGGCACTGCATTTTGGGGCAGCCCTTCTGTTCCCCAGGAAATGGTCAAGACTCTGGCCACCACTGTGAGCCCTACTGCAGACCCCGCACCTCAGGGGGACACTGTTATCTAGGGCAGGCTCCTGACCTGCAGGAGGTAGGTGTGGGCCCCTCGCTGGGCCCCACCCGTGATACCTCTGCTACTCCTGGGTTAGCAGTGCCCCCTGCACCCTCCACACCCAGGTGGTTCCACAGCTTTGAGCTCTGGGAACCAAAGGAAGAGCTTCAGAGGCCTCCATCTCAGGGAACCCAGCTGAGCTCCAGAGAAGAGCTATACAGTCCATGTCCACAGTCAGGAGACAGACCACTCTCAAGCACCACTGCAAGCCACCCAAGAAATACAAGAGACTGTCGCTAGCGGCTGGTCACTCCAGCTAGGGGTGCAGTTCCTCTCTTGGGCTTTGGTGGAAGTTCAGGCCACTCTGTAGGGGATTCTGTCTGGCCAGAGCCAGTTCATTAGTCTATCCTCCTCTGGGATGGAGATAGGGCTGGGACAGGTAGATCTGGGGGAGATACATCAGTTCATTTTACTTTTAAGGGTAGAAGGCTGACAGCCAAGAATTGGAATGTTGAATCTACTACTTACTGTGTGGCCTTAGGCAAGTTTCATAACCTCTCTGAATCTTATCCCTCTCATCTTTAAACTGAAGAAAATGTCAGCATTATAAGGTACCTCTCAGTTCCTGGATCTGCAGATAATAAATGGTAGTTAATACTATATTAATCTCAATTTACAACTAACTTATTCAGTGTCTTACCTTTTTATACCTGTTCTTACCTTTCTAAATAGATGGGGCTACCCTCATTCTTACTTTATTTTACATGCTTGTGAATGATTATGATCATGAATTATCAGGATGCACATTCTCAAATGACAGGGGCATTTTTTCTTTTTCTCCCATACCTAGAATAGTGTTTTGAACAACGGTAGATGATTTAATTTTTTTCTGAGTATCTGTTTCAAACAAGACACGGAACTATGGATATCAAGACGAGCAGGACTTGTTTCCTGTTTTAAAAAGAGGGCATCTAACAGGAACAGACCCCAACAACTAGGACAGCTTGGTATACGCTGCACGGAATATAAGCCAAGAGCACAGGCAGGAAAATTATTTATTCATTCTGCCTAGAAGATGGTAACTGGACAGAAAGTTTGATGCAGTGTTTCACTTGCAAGAAACATTAAGGAAGTTCTTTCTTACAGAGGAAATAGCATTGGTCAAGACAAATGGGCACCAGAGTGTGGCTTGTTTGGGATCGGTCTGATGTAGCTGGGGTCTAGGTCACATTGGTGAAATGGATGGACTGGGGCCAAATTCTGAAGGACTCGACTGTGTAGTCAGCGGAGCCACCAGAGGGTTTTAGCAAGTGAGCAAAATGCTCAGATCTGTCGTTTCTAGAAACAAGGTGGTCATAACGACATGGGACAGTGCTTGCATTAGGATGTGAAAAAAACCATGAATCAACATTATACATTGAAGGAATCACAATAACATTGCAAGGAAACATCAAGCAATGGTTAGAAAAAAGATTAGAAGGAAATCTGTGAAAACGTTAACAATGGTTATAGTCAGGGAAGGAGAAAATAGGTGTACCCCGGCTTTATGTTTTTGAATTTTACATATTTGCTCATTAATTGAAAAAATGTACAATGCTTTGGGTGGGGAATGAGGATATGTGCAGAAGCTGCTGAGCAGGAGAGAAGAGACAGGAAAAATGTGGGGAAGATTTTTGCACAGCCTGGCTGAGAGGAACCAAGGCCTCCTGGGTTAGTGGTGTGATGAGGGATATGAGGGAACTGACTCTGTATGGTCCACAAGTGACACAAATGAAATGCCAGTACCAATGCATTTCTTTAAAAATGCTCAACTTTGTTTGTTAAATCACAGAAATACAAATTCAAAAGGTGCATTAAACATTTATTTAAAAATGTTTTTCACCTACTAGCTTGGCAAAGATTTGAAAGGGTGGTGATGCTAAGGATGTGGAAAAAACAGAGATCCCCAACACAGTAGCTATGTAAACTAGGGCTGCCATTCAAGCAAAACAGTTTTGAAACAAGCATGTCTTTTCCCACAGATTCTCTACACTTAAGAGATTAAGAAAACGAGTTCAAGGCAAATACCCTCCACACAGCGTTGTTTGTTGTGGCCTTATTACAGTGAAAAATTAGAATCAATCTAATATCTATTGAAAGCAGACTGGCTAATAAGTTGTCACACATTCAATGAAATGCTATGGAACATTTAAAGAGAATAAAGCAGACCTTTATGCATTCAAATTTAAAAATCTAATGTGTGAAGGAGATTCTATAACAAACTGTTTAATATTGGTTGCCCCTGGGTTGGGGAAAGGATACTTTTGAGTAACCACTTTATACTAAATATACCACACAATAGCATGGCTTTGAAAAAGAAAAGGAGATAAGACGAATGGAGGGCACCTGGGTCACTCCCTGCAGGGCCTCAGTCCGTGGCCAGCTGTACAGAGGGACAGGCTGTTTCCGGGGAGGCAACTGAGCTTGGTTTAGAGTACTACCTGTCTCCAGAGCTGCTAAAGGTCACTGGGTGCCATGATGGGGGCTCTATGTAGCTGGCAGAAAACATAAGGACACCAGGCCTTGTGGGGTATGGACTACTGAAAGAAAATATGCAGTACTGAGGACAGACCTTATAATATTGTTCAAGCTCCACAAATCCTGATACTGGAGTACCTTTTGAAAGGTGATGGTCCGGGTACAGGGGCCTGTAGAGGGTGTGTCAGGGATTGGCAGGAAATGACCTGCTCACACAGGGTAGCTTCTGCCAGACCACCTTACTCCTGGCTGTATTTGCAATAACTCCATTATTTTTCTCTCCTATAGCTAAGGCTAACAGAGACTGACACTGATACAAGAGATACAGCTACTACCACTACCACCACTACCACCACTGCCGTGACTAAGGTCCAACATTTAAGCTCATCACACCCAGTGTCTAAAGAAAAAACATCAGGGTATCAATCAGGTTGTTTACTGAGTTCCTACCCTAACAGCAGTTGAATCTAATAGGTCCTTAGCCAAGGGCCTGCTTATAAAAGACAGCATGAAATGTGGGCAAGAAGAATAGGAATGAGAAGCAGATTTTAGTTTAAACCCTGGGACTACTGGGATAGCTTGGAGATAAGTTTCCTTATTTCTTAGTCTCTATTTTCTCATTTTTGAAAGGGGCCATTAAAAACTACCTTGCTTAGGGCTGGGGATTTAGCTCAGCAGTTCGGTGGCCTGCCTTGCAAGCGCAAGGACCCAAGTTCAATCCCCAGTACCAAAAACAAACAAACAAACAAAACAAAACAAAAAAAACTACCTTGCTTACAACACAGGGTTGAGAGTTAATGATAATTATGCAAAGGTCCATCATAAACCAGAACATGTACACAGATATATCACAGTCCTACTATGAGGCTGTAGTTCCTGTGGTGATTATGCTTGGCTCAGAGCTGAAGGCTGAATTTATTTATAGGCTCAGAGAACTTCTTTGGGATTTTCTGGGGCAGAGAGCCCAAGGAGAGGTGTATATTTCAGTATACTAGATCATCTCTTAAGAGATTTAAAATGGAGAAAAATGCAGAAAAGATGGAAATAACGTCCTGGTGGCTGTGGGAGGACAGCCAGCATTACTCCCAAACATGAGTTTTCCTTTTCTGCCACTAATTGGATGGTCCTAATTATAGCTAAGCAGACTCCTCCTCAGTAATCTCCCTCTTTGTGAAATTCTCAATCCCTGCATGGCCTCTATAGTATTCAATGGGTTCTCCTAACTGCTAAGTGCTTGAAGTTCCAAGTGACGATAGGTAATTTCCACTTGAGCCAGGTAGCACTTTCTTTTTCAGAGTACTCTTTTAGAATCCTGAAGGCAGATTTTACTATTTCAACTCTCACGAATCCAGAAGAGGCGAAAGAACAATTTTTAAGAGAGGTAAGACTTCTGCTTCTTCAAATCTTGATCAGATGACTTGCCTATGCCTATGCAAGGCAATATATCAAAAACAGTAACATTAAGGAAAAAGCTTTGGAAAATTAGTTTATGTTGTTCTGCCATCACTTTGGCTCACAGTGACAAGTTGGTTATGTCAGGATATTTTCAGATCTTTTTCTAGCCTCTCCAACATCTTCCTAAGGTCTTTTTTTTTCTTTTTTCAGTTAAGACAGGACAGTTAGAAGGACTTGACTTTGGCTTTCCACTTATTCTTTTCATGGCCTGGACAAGTAATTTAGTCTGAGTCTCAGTTTCCTCATGAAATAGGAATGACGATGATACATAATTCATATGGCCACTGTTATGACTGAATTTTGGATTCCATATCAAGGTCTAGCAAACTGGCACAGTTGGTACTCAATAAACATTAGCTATTATTATTACTACCAACATTACTACTATGGTGTTCTGAATTTAATTTGTTCTAGGCCCATTTTTCTCCATGTACTTTGAAAAAGAGATGGAAATAACTGCAGAGCACTGACAGGACTTCGGTAGCTGAACGTGACGGCAGCCGAGGGGCCTGAGTCTCAGTATTGTGGGATAGGAGACTGTTTCTAACCACTGAGAGAAAAGCCTCAAACTGATTATTATTATTTTTTAGTATTGGGGATTGAACTTGAGACCTTGCATTCACAAGGCAGGTGGCAGCACCACGGGGCTAAATCCTGGCCCTCGAAATGATTATTGAACAGTTCTGAACCATATCAGACAATAATCATTTGATGTTAGAGCTAGAGAGTACCCTATAGGTCATTGAGCCAACATAATTTTACACATAAGGAGACAAATTAGCATTTATCTAGTAGCTTATTGCAGTTTATTCACAGAGCCAAAGGAACAGCATCCAGGTAATTCATTCTAGAATGTCACAAGATCAATTTTCTAGAAAGATGGTGTGTGTGGACTCAGATGCAAAATTGCCCAGGCTGGACTCTCCTGCCTCAGCCTCCCAGAACACTGGGATTATAAACATGTGTCATTATGCACGGCTCTGTAAGCACACTTTAGGTAGTGTCCTCAATGAAATTTTGGACACCAAACCAGAAGCCATCTACCTTCTATTCTAAATGAGCCAAAGGGTAAACTGGTAAAATGGAAAATTTCATTTTTTAGTCAACTTTGTTGGACTGTTATCTAGTCCACAGGTGGGATGACCATGTTAAAGGACAGAATTTGTACCTCACAAATTTAAAGAATGGAGTTGGGCTGGGCATTGTAGCACAGGCCTGTAATCCCAGCTATTTGCAAGGTTGAAGTAGGAAGATCAGGAGTTTGAGGCCAACCTGGGCAGCTTAGAGAGACTTTGTCAAACAAAACAGAAAAGGGTTGGGAGTATAGCTCAGTGGTAGAGTGCTTGCCTAGCATGCACAAAGTGTTGGGTTCCACTGCAAGCATTGTAAAATAAAATAGAAAATAAAAAGGAACTGTAAGGACCAAGTATATGTGTTGAAGGTTAGGTGTACATTACTAGTTTAGGTAGCATTTAAAATTTCAAGTAGAAGACAAGGAAATACCCTATAGCCAACACTTCCCAGTCTCAGGTATAGAGACAAAAAACACTGTAAAAGACATAGTGCTCAAGAACTGGAATTAGACTAGTGGTTCTTAACCCTGGCTTAAGTTAGAATCCTCTAGAGATATTTAAGGAAAAATAGCAAACAACACCCTGCCCCCAACAACAACAAAAAGCCTGGCCTCTGTCCTTAGAGACTTTCTACTTAATTGTTCAGTGGTGGAGTCTAGGAACCATCCCTACTTTTCTGGTTTATAATCCCCAGGGATTCTGATGAACCATCAAGACCGAGAACCACTGATTTGGTCATTTGTTTTTATTTCCTTTTGTCTTTTTTTTTTTCCCCTAACAAAACTGATTTAGGCACTTTCCCATTGTGTAGGTGGCTAATGACAAAAGACAGACATCTGGAAGGAGGCTAAGAAAAAGGGCATGCGTGGACCTAAAGGGCAGGGATGGAACTAAGGGGTCCACATGTGAATAACTGAGAGCTAAGAGGAGCACGGGGTCATAAAATAGCATCAGCAGTTTGTTTTACTTTTTGTGGTGCTGGGGATTGATCTCAAGGTCTTACACTTTACCATTGAGCTGCACCATCGGCCTTTTTTCTCTCTTTTTGATGTTTCAGATCCAAGAAGTCTTAAAGCTTATAGTAGGTCCTGAGCAATTCAGACTGAAATGGGTTGGTTTTGATGTGAATGAAAAGTAGCACCCATCTACTGATTTGCAATTTCCCTTTTACTCAATCTTCAATAAGTTTTGGTTAATACCTAAAAGAACAGGATTAGACATAACTTTGAGATATGCCAGAAGGCACAGACCTACAACTGGCACCAAAGCAAACTACATGTGAAACTTGCATTCTTGGATTTTATGAAACCGATAAGCAGAAGATGGCAGTATGTGGGAGCAAAAACTTTCAGAGTGACAAGGACAAAAGCCCGAACCAAACAACAAAATTCTGAAAATAAACCCCAGAAATCTGTCTAGGGAATATAAGAGAGCACAGTAGTGGTTTAGAAAGGTAAATGGGGCCTCATTTTCAGCGTTGGGGACTGCACCATGGGCTTCACATATGCTAGGCAAGTGCTCTACTACTGAGCTGTACCTGCAGGCCCACAACAAATATGTGTTAATGCTAACTACTTGCCCTATTTCAAAGTAATATTTTTACCTGTAAATTCAATAATTTTAAGGCTTGTTGTTCTTAATATTACAATATATCAGAGTAATATTCTTCCATACATCTTTTTTTCTGTGTCCTAAGCACCCAGATACATACTAGTAGTAACATGTCAAATACAGTAGCAACTTTAGTCTGAAATGTTTAAAGTTAAAGTTTATTTGTATTCTTTGTAGGAATATCAATAAAAGACCTCAAATGTATCTATATCTGTACATGTACAAGAACCATCAAAAATTATTCACAGAACAAAAATAAATCTTCTTTAGAACAAACCCAGGTAATGTAATGCAGATATGGATCTCACATATGGAACAATCTAAGTGCTACTTAGCACAAAAATATGGCTTTAAAAATAAAATAAAATATTGGGATTTCTTATTCTAAGGTGTATTTCTCTTTCTTGAAATAAAAAATAAATTATTTAGAGTTACATTGTAAAATAGTCATGTGTATTAACATACTCTTATTAAGGCCCTGGAGATGAAAAACAAAATAAATTTAGAAGGTAAATTCCTCACAGGTGTGATCCAGGTAAATGGGACCCTATCAGCTTGAGTTGATTTTGATATAACCAAGAAAGGTCAAAGCACCAGTCAAAATTTAACCTTTACTGTTTAGCTGTTTTGAAGTATTGTGGTCATCAAGTCAATATTTAACCTATTGGGTGAACTGTGAATTGAAACTTTTTCCCTTGGAAGTTTGGAAATGAGAAACTCCCAAACAGGATGGTTGTACATGAATATATATACCGCTCTACAAAATATGGAAACTTCTGTGGAAATCCTGCTTCACCAACAGATAAATCTGGTTTTAAATCCCAAATAAAAATTTCTTAGGGGAAAATGAGAGTATCTGAATAAAAAGTAACAGCTGAGCAGGAAATTAAAATGCATGCTGAAATATGAATCAAACCTACCACTTTCCTTGGATGATTCACCGCATTTGTCAAGTCTGACTGGGTTCTCAAACACCTGAGGATTAACTGATCAGAAACCAAAGCTACTTCTTCCTGTATCCTGCTCTGATCAGTGATGTTCAACTTTATTTCTATGACTCCCTGTGGTATCGATGATGATATCTAGGGTTCTTGAGACAATGTCAAACCAAATCAAGTTCAAGTCATTTTAACTTATATATACATATAACACATATAGTACATTCTGAAGAGGAGACAACAACTGTCATAAAATCTAATAAATGACAGCATATC